ATTTGATTCTCTCATTTTCCAACTGTACAGTGTGACATCGCTGTGAATTCAGGAAATTTTTGTACGACGTGGTAGTCTGGTGTCTACGTCGTACATGGAAGATTTTCCTTTGGCTTTCAGCATCTTTTTCATAAGTTGTTTTAATGCGCCGAATCGTAACTGCACTTCTACGGTAGGTATGTTTTCTCGCAAAATATGTAGCAGCAAGTGGTTTCAATCCACCGACCTGTGGGTTATGGGCCCAGCACGCTTCCACTAAAAAAATTTGTTTTAAACTGTTTGAAAAAAATTTGGCTCTACAAATAAAATCGGTAATTCAATCAGGATTAAGGCGGGTATTATCACCATTAAAATGCGACTTTGGCAGACGCTTGATGTAACCTGCTGTGAAAAGCTGTTTTAAAACAGTAGAAGGTGTACGTGCAAGAGTAGCAGCAAGAAAAAGTAGTTGTTGAACTGGCTTTTCTGCATGTTTCGTTCATTTATTTCGCGTTGCAAATCGCTCACTTAGTAGGGTATCAGATCTAATGCAAAACTGTCTGCTTTCTATTTTTTTCAAATATACAAGAAATTTTCTGTAATTTTCATTCTATATTTATGTGATAATTAGTTTTCTACTTACAACAGAAAAGGACTGCACAGGGTCTCTAAGCGGCGGTTCTCAAAAAAAGAGATAAATTGTTTCTTTCAAGCAAATTCCTATTGTCCCAAGTTTCCATTCTAGTTCCAAAATTTTTCCTAGCTGCTTTTTCGCACATTTTTGCAACAAGGAGTAAGTTCTTGGTAGGTGATAGCAGCATAACTAATATTTTTATAGTGAGACTTACTTCTAAATTTTTATTCTTTTTCGGCAACTCTTCTATGCTCTCAGGAAAGTCCAAAACGCAATTCGCCTCCGAGTTATCGATATGCAGGGATTGACAGGCTGCTGAGAACGACAAAGACACGACTGCAAGAGTTTTATCGCAGATAACTTCACTTGAAAAAAAAAACTTAAGTGGTGTTTTAATGATCGTTCCTCGTGTTGCTCACTACTTAGTTTTATATACAGATGCCACTGATCCTAAAACTGCGTGTATTTCCACTAGAATCTCTTCTCTTAGAACAAGCTTATACTGAAGACGTAGTACTTCACCAGAAAATGCGGGAATGCAACAGTGATACTGAATCAAAAATAATAATTTGTGATCAAAAAAGAAATAAAATAACCAAATGCTTTCTACAGTTGGAATCTCTGATTATTCAACACGAAGAACATCTGCCTTTCTGATGGTTAGCAAAAGCTACATTGCCTTCTTGAAGTTCACGTGTGTAATTTTGCGTATCGTGATGCATTTTTGTCAGATTTTTCCTCACTGTTCTATGTATATGATATATTTAAGCATTTACTTTTTCATATAAATCTTAATTTTTTTGCTGGAAAACTGTTGCTTTCTGCTCATTCTCGTTAAAAACTTGAGATTGCTTTAAGAGGTGGTATCTTCAAAACCACGAGTTTAACTTCAAACCTCAAAAAAACAGTAATGATCCTTTTGCGAAGGCTACCAGCTTTTACAAGCTCTCTTTAGAGCAGATCGTTTTTTTTTCGCTTCTTAAACTTATAAATAGAGTTGTATGAGCGTTTCTTACCGAATGGCACTTGGTGATGGGATGACCACTGATATAGCCCACCTCGTGAGGAGACTCTTGATGCGGTCAGTCACCAACCGTCGCATCGCATTGCAAAACTTTTTCTGTCCCATAATGTTCAGGTTAAAAACCCTTCTACAGCGGCGACTTACAAGTGGTAAGAAAATTTATAAACCCCAGTCGCGGTTGACCTGCACAACTTCCAACCTTATTCGTCGTAAGACAATGTATCACTCAGTTGTGTGAAGGCTAACTGACATTTAAGAATAAGTTTCCATTGAAAATTTTTTGAAAATAAAACACTCTATCGCAGAGAATTAAGCTCGAGTCTTAAATTTTTTGGCAGCAGGTGTATGATTTGCTTATTGCCCGTAAGCTTCATGAAGGAATGGAAACTGCAAAGTACTACGGCTAACTGGTTTCATGAGAAAGTGAGCTTTCACACTGTAACTGTTGTAAACAGTTTACTTTGCTATCCTTCAGAAGGAATTCGTGAAAATGAGCACGCAAAAAAAGTCAAATCTCTTACCCACCAAAATTTGTAACGTTGCTTTGCCAAAAAATTTCGCAGAGAATGAGGCAAGCCAGAGTTGAATTCAACTTCTTTCCATTCTTACCTTGAAAGCATTTAACCCCTCTCAAAATACTGTGCCGGCAAAAAAAAGATTGAACACGGAGCTGTTCTGAGGAAGTGTGCCTAAACAGCAAAGCGTTTTTCTACTGCTGGAAAAAGCTGCAGTCAGATTGTCCACACTTTAAAACGAAAACTTATTGTCGCCTGAAACAGAAGAACTGCGCTGTAAGAAGTAAAATCTGCTTTTTTGAAATACACAAATTATTTTATGTAGTTTATGCGTTCTAGCTGTCTGATATCTCATTATCAAAAAACCTTTAGCAAACCCTGTGTAAGTTTACGAACTGATCAGGGGAACTAGTGAGTGGGTCTCACAAAAAAACCTTCTAATTAAGGCCAAAACAAGCATACATGATTTTCCTCAACTACGGAAGAACTTGTTATTTGGAGCCAAAAAGATGTAAAAAAAATTCCAAGTTCATTTTTTAAAACAACAGTGGCCGTGTTAGGAGCGTGTAACGCACCAGACAACAAGCCGGTTGTAGAAACTAAAATTTACGAGTTCAGTTCTACCGTAGTTGTTAACGCACTTACAGAAAAAGTGATGGATTTTCAGAATATTAGTCGTGATTACGGTCCGCGCATAAGGTGCACACCACAAACACCTGAGAACATGCGTAACATTAGCTCGAAAGCGGCTGTATAACGAGCAATTTGTGTAAACTGACGTAACGCAGTTTAATCCAGCTCACTAACTTATCAGAACGTTCGTTTGCCTTTTTCACGTTTCTCCATCAATTGCAAAAAAAAAAGAAAAGCACTTGTATTAGTCCTAAAATTATTCAGGATTCCATATTTTTCGTCGTTTTTATGGGGTGATTTAGGTTTTTCAAAAATGTTAATTTGGAGTCTTAGTAAAAATAATTTATTCATTTTTTTTATAAAATTCCTCAGTTTGTTTCCCTTCACCGTAATTCTATCTGGTCGGAATCAGTACCCCAGAAACAGAAATCAGTTCAATGCAAAAAACGAAAATGGTCATATACTAGTAACGTGACGCGTCCAATCAAAGGCATTTAAAAACATGCGCATCCATGGAGAGTTCGTATAAACGTAATTCTCATTCCAGGGTGAGGCATTGAAATGATTTCTTTTCCATTCCTTCGGATAATACGGCCACTGCCACGACAGGAATGAACGTTCAGGATGTGGCATGATCGCTAGATGGCGCCCGTCCAGTGAAGAAATTCCAGCAACTCCTCTGAAATTTTAAAATGTGATAGTGTTGAAGATACACAAAATGCCTCATCACAGCTGTAAAAAACCATTTGCTTTTACAACCAATATTAGCATCTTTTTCAGATAATTTGGCAGCAGCAGTTTGAAAGCAGAAAACACGACTTTTTCGATGTTCCTGGTAAAAAAGCTTATTTTGTTCTGAATTCGTTGATAACAAGATTTTCATGATGATGAGCCACGAAATTACTCAGCGGAAGTTAAAGTAACAAAAAGGTAACTGCTTGTCGAGTTCTAAACTTTACTTTATCTAAAGGAACTAGAGGCACTGAAGGTGGCTTGTAATGAATGAGAACATGACAAATTATTTTTGGCTTTCCAAAAAAATCTTGCACACTTTGGGTTTCTTTCATTTAAGCTCTGCTCATTAATAGAGGTGTTACCAGAGTTAGTTTTAACAGTTACAGGTACTCGAGAAGCAAAAAAAAAAAAACAACTCCCTTGAAGTAATTGAGCATTTACATGATAGGTCAGTTGTTTAAAAAGTAAGAGATTCGTAACATTGTCCTATGAAGATTCTTCTTCATCATCGGCTTCGCCGTATTTTGAACTCTTCTGCTGCTAAAAATTAATCGTACGTTGATGTTGCTGCAACGAGGCTTTGCAATCATTCACCGTTGCACTAAGCAAACAGAAAAAGGCAAGTGACAAACGAATGAATGAGCGCCAGAGGCATGCATCGGACGCTACTCTTCTGCTCGTCAGTCCATATTCTACTGTTTGGTCGCACTAACCAGATAATGCTCACTCTGTGATAAAAGAGAAAAGATTTTTTTTATGTATAAATATTCTCCGATTGAGACAACAGAGTTTTACCAGCAAAGGTTTCATTTCAACAGTTACGGCGCTGAGAGGAAGAGATGCAAAGTAAAAAAATAAGCTTTCGCCATACATAATCTCACAGTACAAAGAGACTGCAAATAAATGTCAGTAAAAGATTATCAGTAAACTTTGAGAACAACCCTACTTTACGTCTGAAGAGGTTTGATTAAATATTTGCAAATTCACTCAAATTAGCCCATTGGAACACTACAAATTTCCCGTGAGCCTTTACCCTATAATATTTCAGGCACGATATCGTATAATAGCACAATTAACGATTTAATTATTATGCAATATTTCTCTGAGAAATAATTTTTCAAGGAGAGGCATTCTGAAGCAAAAATCATGGTTTCACGCAAAAGATCAGAAATACAACCCCTGCACTTTTATGATGAAATCGCACTTCATGGGCAGATTACGTGCTTTTAATATCAAATTTCTGAAATACAGAAAAGTCACAAAAGATGTAAATTTATCTGATCCCTGTGAACCATTAATGGTCAATATACTGTGGTCAATCTGGACTTCCCTAAACTCCTTTAAAAACTCAACTGCAATACCACCCACCAGCTTATACTGCAGTGCGCTTTCCTTCACAACAATTCAAATGACAACGTTACGTAAAGTCCGTTTTTCAGACTTTTTTAAATTCAAAAATCAGAGTATCAGCAAAGTGACGAGTTACGTAATATGCGAAAGAAATTTGCCATCTGAAGGTTAGCCACTTTTTTTTTCTACAGAGAACTTCTATTCCAGAATTCTCATTCTCAAACGTATAATTTCATTAATTAAAAGCCACAAACTTTGTGCTTCCGTTAGGGTTCTGAGGGAACCTTGTTGTCGGTCTCCCATTTACATCGCAGTACCGAAGTGGTAGCAGACAGTTCTGCTCGAGCTCATTAAACGCATCGTCATTCGTGAAACAAAACCTCCCTAAAAGAAGTTAGCTCTATTACCAATGAAGATGATACAAAGAGATAATGCAAACTTCCTCCAACCTTCACTATGAGCTGACCATACTCCAAGTATGGAGCCTTCCATTCCTTTGAGAAATATAGATTCAGATCTGGTTATTGCGACTGAGGTAAATGAACTCTGGAAACGTCCGCACTTGTTCTGTTTCAGTTGGACTGTCTTGCCCTTCTCTGAAACAAAATGCTATAACTTGTGGAACAATTGTTGTTGAAAATTAATAATTGATTATTTGTTTAACAAACCGGCTTCAGTGCGACCAACCCAACCAAGAATCATCATCAGCTGACACCCATTGCCCACTCCTAGTGAAAATGCATCCCGGCGCTTCAAGAATAGCTCAATCTCATTTAAAACATTTTCGTGATGCATTATTAAACTAGCCCAGCCTGAAATTTAGTTTAGCAATCAAAGTAGATTATGCTGATGTTGCACGGTTTAGTTTTGTTTTCTACTTGTGCACAAACGGCTTATAGCCGATGTGTTCCAAAACAAACCAGTATAAATGGTTAAGTTAAAAGCGTACCCTTTGCGGCACCAAAAAAATCAGCGTAGGCAGATCCTCCCACAAAAACAATCCCGTTGAAAAATGATAAAGAAAATCGAGAATCCAGAAAATCTTCCATATTTACATCAAATACTGCAAAACCAGCCAAATAGAAGGCAGCTGCCATTTCACGGTCTCCACTACTCCCTTCTTCACGAACTATAGCAACCGAATAAACTTCTGCAATCAAATATGGATATAATAGATTAGGCTGCCTTAAAAAAATATAAGAGTCGTTCAGAAGACTCAAAGGGTAGGACAGAAACTCTAAAAAACTTGAAAACCCGGTTGAAGAATAAATGCGAAAATATATGCTGAGAAAAAATAGATCAACAAGACATACTTGTACTTTCTATGCTAAAAAAATAGAGTAAGTCATTGTTGAAGTGAAATATGACACAAGTAAAAGGTTTTTAGCATAGTCAAGATAAAGTTGAGTATACTAGTAGTAAATAGTGAGTAGCAAAATAAGTAAGAACTAGAAATAGACAAAGAATGTGGTTAGAATTACAATAACGTACTAAACATTTTTTGGGCTTTGAAATCTATCCTGCGCGGTGAGTAGTCAAAATCTGCCTTATATACTGGATTTTTTGCTTCATTCAACCATAGGCCTTGTTCCGCGACACATCCTTCCTCAGTTTGTAAACGTTCAAGTTGCTGACTTGTTTCCTCCCAAATTGCGCGTAATTTCCAAAGTGGTTCATGTAATACTTCCGTAAAATTCAGTGTAACTATGACCTATGTGATAAATTATGATTTACGTTCAGAATCAGCGGCTAACAACCCTATCAAAAACCTTCCTTGTAATGGAAACAAACGTAATTATTTAAAAAAAAAAAACACCTTAGCATCAGAGCCGCTTTCATTAGTGACAAATCCAATGTCCTCAGCTAAAACATTTGCACTGGTTAAAATGTTCTTGATGTCTTCAACCTCTTCATCCGTCACTTCAACTATTATTCCAGCTTCTTCAGCAAAAAGAGTTTCCAAAACACCTAAAAGATGGGAAAAATCATTGCTTAATTTACGCGCAGCAAGCATAAAACAAAATAAGTACCTGACGGCGTTATAATCTGCAGTACTGTCGTGCGGTTCCCCGCCATTGCCATTTCCAAAACACATGTTATTAAACCTCCATCACTGACATCGTGACCGGATAGAATTCGGTCCTCTGAAAATTACTTTTACACTAATATTTTCTGATAATGTTATAACAATTTCCGTGCAGAAGCAACCATTAACGAAATAAAATATTTTGAGGTTTAAACAGACTCTTACCTTTTATGAGTTTCTGGACTATGTCGAAAGCTCTCGAGAACAGTGCGAAGTCATCAACATCACTAGGGACGTCTCCGATTTGGCTTAGACACTGAGCTAAAGCAGACCCTCCTAATCTGTTGGGAAAACCGTCGTTACCGAAGCGTATATATAATAAGTGCGTTGGCATATCATCTAAAATTTGTTTAAAGAAGGAACATATATCAGTTTTATCACCTCTTCGCAATCACTGGCAACTAAAAGACATTGCCTTACCTGAAGAGCCTTTTAAATCAGGGGTAACGACTTTAGTTATGTCTACACATGGCGCATAGACACTAACAACAACAGTACCGGGAACTTTCACTTTTTCACTCCGAACCTTTAAGGAAAACCAAAAGTCAAACGCTAGAAAGAATAGCTTGAGGTGTGAGATTTAATAGAATAAGAAACTGTTTGCCTCATCTGTCACTGGGAATGATTCCTTCGTACTGTCAAAGGCAACTTCAACTTCCTTCATAGCTTCACAAAGCGCCTTACAGGCTCTTACCAAATGTGCCCCTTCACCGCGCGCCTTTGCCGCCCACATCCAATTACCACTGCATTTAATATCCTAAATCCTACACTCTCAGCAGGATGAAAAAAAAAAAAAGTCAAAACCAGCTTCTGCAACCATAAACCCATTTGCAAAGAGACCATGCCAGAACAAAACTGTTGAGCGGAAGCGTGTCAACCATTAATGACTGTCTGAATTAAAGAAAGTCGAATTTTCTAGTTGAAAAGAACAGTTATTGAATGAAATGAACAAGGTAGAACCCTTCTTTCTGTGATTGGAGCAAAAATTAAGTTGGTAAGCGCTTCTGCGAGCGACATGCGTGCGCCAGCTTCTGGACTGATCAAACCTTTCAGTGGCTGTTCTCCTATCGCGACAGCACCACCTACCTAAAAGAGGTCCAATAATCCGAATTGTTTTGTTAGTGCCATGCATAGCAAATCACTGACTTTATCCCAGTATGACAAAGCAACAACTGCAACATCCGCCAAAGGAGTTTCTAGGGGTCCAACGCACTGCTGTCGAGCTATAAGACCCGTCACAGAACGATCGACCTAAAACCTACGAAGGTAATTTTGAAAGGATTTTCCAACTCGTTAACAGTGCTATTTCTCTTGAGTATATTCACCTGCCCTGCACTCCCTCACTCCCGTCGCCCTAAGAAAATTTTTTCCTATAATTTACTTTTACTTTTATTTGTAGAGGTTTCACATATTCCGAATGCACACCGCGCAACTAGAGGATCCTGTACGAGTCCTCTTTATCTTTTAACTGTTTAACCCTCAAAATTTTATAATGTTCTGCGTGCCTTCTTATACTATTAGCCATTTTGGAACCATGGCGCAATTCTTGCACGAAAGTACAGTAGTTGTAACTTTCACGTTTTAGCAGTTCATGCTCTTACTGCTTCTTCTTTCCGCAACTCCAAGCGATTTTGCTCTTTTACGTGCCTTTCACGTTCCATTCTCCAGCACCCTCATTTAATGGTAGACAGGGCAAGCGATGGCATACAATGTAATAAATGACTGTCAAAAGTTAGCTCCAATCCTATTACATGTCAAAATTTTGCTTCTGTCTTACCAGGAATTCGACGAAGCGGAGCGCAAGTACAAAAGATGGGTTTGCAGACAACGCGGCAGTTTCACCCGGAAGGAAAAGAACATGCAGCCAGTTAGCCATTTGACTAGCTGCGCATCGTTGATGGGCTGAGCAACCAACTACTTTCACTTTACCAATTGCTTTATTGTAGTCGTATGGGAAATGCACAGGATTGTGGGAAAAAACTGGTAAGTCTATTGTGATAGTGAGGTTTTTTCAAACTTTATGACTTGAGAGCTCTAAGGAGAGGTTTTAAATTAATGTAGAACATCTCAAATTGTGACTAATTGCTAACAGAGTGCAGTTTTTTAAATAAAATATACAGTTTTAAAAAGAAGAGATGGTTAGAATCAACGGTCAAGAAGATTGTAAGTGAAGTTAAATACAGAGTGTTACAATAAAAGTAAAGGTAAAGTTCTTTTAATACGCTCTTTCTTTGCCCTTTTTTTTCCACTATCTATTCTAATTATTTCTCGTTATTAAACAAATCTCTTACTTCGAAAAGCATAACTTCCCGGTGGTTAACTACAATTTAAATTTCCAACGCCAACTCAAAAACTCTTCCCAGCGTTCCTAGTTCAAAAAAAAAAAAAAAAAAAAAAAAAAAA